AACACAATCCAGACATCTTATCGGCCCCTTCGAGGCCAAATGCCCAGGTATGGCCGATGGTTTCTAAAGACGAGGGGCCTGCAAAAGGCCCGCGTTTTTGGAGCGGGACGCTCGCCGCGTCGCCGGCGCGCAACGCACGGCGACATGCCTGAAAGAATGGCTGAGGTGACGAAATCTCCAAACTTGGGGGTGAAACGGCAGTCGTCGGAAACCGACCAAGCCTAGCCCGCGCCGTAAATAGACGACGGGACCCCCCAAGGTCAAGGGACGGTTCAGCGCCGGGGGACTAACAGACGAACCCCCGGACGGATCACTTGGACCCCCTTCCGGCCGAGGCGGGGAAGCAACCCCCTCGGCCGAAGCCTAGAAGAAGGAACACACATCAGGAGGACTAACATACGACCTCCTGGCACAATCAAGGGACGGCCCAGCGCCGGGGGACTAACAGACGAACCCCCGGACGGATCACTTGGACCTCCTTTCGGCCGAGGCGGGGAATCAACCCCTCGGCCAAAGCCTAGAAGAAGGAACACACATCAGGAGGACTAACATACGACCTCCTGGCACAATCAAGGGACGGCCCAGCGCCGGGGGACTAACAGACGAACCCCCGGATGGATCACTTGGACCTCCTTTCGGCCGAGGCGGGGAATCAACCCCTCGGTCGATGCCTGAAAGAAGGAACATACACCCAGAGGACTCCTGGAACTATCAAGGAAAGGCCCTCGGCCTCAATTCGATTCCACGTCACCAATGGCCCTCGGCCTTGGCATGATTCCACGTCACCAACGGCCCTCGGCCTCAGCGTGATCCCACATCACAGCGGCCCTCGGCCTCAACATCAGACGGACCTCGGCCTCAACATCAGACGGCCCTCGGCCTCAACATCAACAACGGCCCTCGGCCTCAACATCAGAACGGCCCTCGGTCACAAAATCAACATCAGACGGCCCTCGGCCTCAACATGACTCTATGTCATAACGGTTTTGGCCTTAGCGTGATCTCACATCACCAACGGCCCTCGACCTCAGCATGATTCCACATCACAATGGCCCTCGGCCTCAACATCAGACGGCCCTCGGCCTCAACATCAACAACGTCCCTCGACCTCAGCATCAGAACGGCCCTCGGCCTCAACATCAACAACGGCCCTCGGCCTCAGCGTGAGGACATCACAATGGCCCTCGGCCTCAACATCAGACGGCCCTCGGCCTCAACATGACTCTATGTCATAACGGTTTTGGCCTTAGCGTGATCTCACATCACCAACGGCCCTCGGCCTCAGCGTGATCCCACATCACAACGGCCCCCCGCCTCAACATCAGGACGACCCTCGGCCTCAACATCAGACGGCCCTCGGCCTTAACATCAACAACGGCCCTCGACCTCAGCATAAGAACGGCCCTCAGCCTCAACATCAACAACGGCCCTCAGCCTCAGCGTGAGGACATCACAATGGCCCTCAGCCTCAACATCAGACGGCCCTCGGCCTCAACATGACCCTTTGTCATAATGGTTTTGGCCTTAACGTGATCTCACATCACCAACGACCCTCGGCCTCAACATGACCCTATGTCATAATGGTTTTGGCCTTAGCGTGATCTCACATCACCAACGGCCCTCGACCTCAGCATGATTCCACATCACAACGGCCCTCGGCCTTCATCCCTCCGACATCTTTATTTGATGTCGGGGGCTATCATACAGGCCAATCGGCCTTCATCCCTCCGGCATCTTTATTTGATGTCGGGGGCAATCACACAGGTCCCTCGGCCTTCATCCATCTGGCATCTTTATTTGATGCCGGGGGCTATCATACAGGCCCATCGGCCTTCATCCCTCCAGCATCTTTATTTGATGTCGGGGGAAATCACACAGGTACCTCGGCCTTCATCCCTCTGGCATCTTTATTTGATGCCAGAGGCTATCATACAGGCCCATCGGCCTTCATCCCTCCGACATCTTTATTTGATGTCGGGGGCAATCACACAGGTCCCTCGGCCTTCATCCCTCTGGCATCTTTATTTGATGCCAGGGGCTGTCATACAGGCCCCTCAGCCTAGCTTTCATCCCTTCGACATCTTTATTTGATGCCAGGGGCTATCATACAGGCCCTCGGCCTTCACCCCTCCGACATATTTATTTGATGTCGGGGGCAATCACACAGGCCCCTCGGTCTCCATCCCTCCGGCATCTGTATTTGATGCCAGGGGCTCTCACACAGGCCCACCTGGCCTTGCACCCCTCCGTCACCTTTATTTGATAACGGGGGGTCCTTACAAGCTCCTCAGCTTTTTCATGCAGGATCTAAGGCTGGTCTTCTATATCCCCTCAGTAGACGGACACAACCACCGCTCAAAAATCTAGGCCGAAGGGTGCATTCCTTTTGCTTCATTCTGGGGGCATCCGGTGTACTCTTTTTCCCTCATTAGGATTTTTTCCCCACAGGGTTTTTTCCTAATGAGGTTTTTAACGAGGCATCTCCCCATTGTGGAACAAAAGGCGTCACCCCTCGGCGGCTCCTGCTGAAGGCATGCATCACTCTACTCCTGTTTCCCTCGAGAAACTCTCGGCAAAAGGAGTGGGGGACTGGGGGACTCCCCTCGGCAAAACACGCAAATGTTAAAAATTTTCTATTTCTCAGCTACAGCAAGCTGAGGCAAGATCACAAAGGCAATCTACTCCCCTCGACATGATGCTTTGGGCTTACAGAATGCCTCCGGCCACACAATGCCTTCGGCCACATGATGCCTCCGGCCACACAATGCCTTCGGCCACATGATGCCTTCGGCCACATGATGTCTTCGGCCACATGATGCCTCCGGCCACATGATGCCTTCGGCCACATGATGCCTTCGGTCACATGATGCCTTCGGCCACACAAAGCCTTCAGTCAACAAATGCCCTCGGCAAAGCACACAAATGCAGATCTCTCATTACTTTACAAACTACAACAAAGAAACACATACGAGCAACACACTTACACTCCCTTCAGGAAGCTCTCAGCCCTCGACATATGGGGGAATTGAGAAAATGAGGCACCCAACAGAACAGGGAAGCCTTCGGGGAAATCACCACAGCTACTCCTTTTCCCTCAAGTACCTTTCGGCAAAAGAAGAAGGGGACTCCTGATGGAGTATATGGCCCAGGGACCCCCGGCCCACATACTTCCTCTACTACAATCAGGCCCAACAGGCCCAAACGGGCCAAGCCCGGAAAAAATGGAGCTCTAAGCAGCCAAATTCCGCAAAGGGGTGCCTTCGGCCCCATGGCCGAAGGCTACCAGTGACGGAATCGAGCTCAGAAACATCATAGGAGAACAAGGCTTGAAAACCAAGCCTTCGGCAACTGCAGCCCTCGGCAGGTAGGAGCCCTCGGTTAGAAGAGGCATCACAGGAGATCAAGGCTTGAAAACCAAGCCTTCGGCACCTGTAGCCCTCGGCAGGTAGGAGCCCTCGGTTAGAAGAGGCATCACAGAAGAACAAGGCTTGAAAACCAAGCCTTCGGCACCTACAGCCCTCGGCAGGTAGGAGCCCTCGATTAGAAGAGCTTTCGGCCCAGCACCCTTCAGCCGAAGGCATCCACCTCGACAGAATATCCTCTTCACATGCGCCTGGATCACCGTACCAAGTACAAACATCACATCCAACCACCACATTTAATGCGGCCACATGCGAGTGCCAGTGCCACCCCGGTTGAGGTGACCCCTCGACCACCAGAAAACTGACACGTGTCCTTATATGGCATTTATTAATACTATAAATAGCACCCCTTTCCCCCATTGTAAACCACGCTTAATACATATCGAATATACACTCTCTCTCTCTTACTTATTTGCTCTGACTTCTCTCTAGTTATTCTCCGCAATAACCCCTCGGATAAGCTACCCCCCGGGTACACTATCCATCAAACATTTTTTGATCACCTAATAATAAAAGTCAAACCTTCTTATCGATAATCAATTAAATTTTTAGTAATTAAAATTTACATATTTATAAACTACATTAAAATTTCTGTAAAGTTGCAAACTTCAAATTAGAATATAATTAAAAGTTGACATCATATCCTAATTAAGTGAATAAAAATGAAACAGTTTGATCAAGAAAAATTAAATTTGCAAATCAATTTGAGACGAATGTAGTAAGTAATAGTTCCAATAATTATTTTAAAGTTTTTTTTAATTAAATTTTGGGCGTTTTTCTTATAAAAACGTCGATACGTGTATCTGTCAAAATACATGTACCTGATTTTTTAAAATAATTAAGTAAATCAGAAACTTTTAATAAATCAGAGATGAATATCTCTTCTACATAGAATGCCAAAAATTTGGGGATAGTCCCCCTTCTCTCTAGGTGCTTGATAAAGCTCGTAAGGGCATCCCTATCCATAAATTATTTTTAGGATCATTTTGATGACGTGGAGGATTTTTTTGGGATCATGTATAAGAGCATCTCCATTCATGCTCTCTAAATAAATGATTTTTTTTATTACACATCATTGTCACATCACATTTATTCAATAACTTTTAAATAATCTCAAAGTTTAAAAATCTTCATCAACAATAATACTCAAACAATCAGTTTTTTCCGGACATGCATTAAATGTAATTTAACTATAATCTAAAATAACCCGGGATTGGAATCTTGATACCAGATTTTCTTTTTCAATAATCTCACTAAATAATCTTTCATTCACAATGACAATCTTTAAAATAATTTTACACATCATCAAATTGATCTTCAAATAAACTCATGGATGAGGATGCCCTAAGGAGTTGAGATTATTTTATGAGATTATTTGATAAAATAATCTGGTATCAAATTTTAAAGCTGAATTATTTTGAGATTATTCATAACTTTTAGGCTCATCTTCACGTTTTCTAGACAACTAATAATAACTAGCTTTTTAATAGATTTAAATATTATCTCACATTCTCACCTCAAAGTCACGTGACAATAAGAGCAGTAACAAACCTTAAACCTGAGGACAGGAGATGCTCTAATTCGGTCCGAGTGTGTCTCACAGTTATCTCACCGGCCGGACAGTATCTCACTATTATAGCTACTGAAAAAAAAAAAATTGCAGGCGGAGAAGAAATGGATCAGTTTTGCTTTTCATCTTTTTCAAGCTCCCAGCTCCATCTCTTTCAGCATCCTCGTCATACCAAGGAAGTGAAATATCGTCTTCTTATTTCCTCGAGATCCTTCTATCCGGCTCTTGCTTCGCACTCTCTCTTACCCCACTTATGTTTGCACAAGCAGCCAGAAGACTCCTCAGCGTCTTCAGCAAAGGCTAGCACGAGAGATAAATTGTACAGCGATGACATTGTTGAAGAGATTAAAACTGCAAAAAAGTCCTCAGAAGTGTTACCTGTCGTACGCAGGCCAGTAATGGAGACCTCACTTGAAGGAGAAGATAAAGATGCATGTGATACCGAGATTTCAAATCAAAAGAGTGATGCTCTCCCTGAGGAGCAGTCATCTTCACTATTTTCCATTGATGCTGGGCTCTCAACATTAGCTAAGAAGATTTCAATTTTTGAACCTGACAGGGTGGAATCGGCTCCTGCAGAGAAGCTTCTGAAAGTGAATTTGGACTTGTCTTTGTACAAAGCAAAAGTATTGGCACGGAAATTCCAGTATGGAGAAGCAGAAAAGATACTTCAGAAGGTAGTTTCCCTTAATGTTGCAGCTACAGTAAGTTGTTTTTCCAAAAAACATTGCAAGATTTTCCTGGTGCTCAATGCTCATTCAATTCTTTATGCTTGAAGTGTATATATTACTGGCCAGAAGATGGGAGGTTATATGTGGCCTTGGGCAAGATTTTAACTAAGCAATCAAAAGTGAGTGAAGCCATATCTGTGTATGAGAAAGGTTGCCAAGCAACACAAGGAGAAAATGCATACATTTGGCAGGTTAGTTTGTTCTATATTAGGTGATTTATCTGGATTTTCCTGAAGTTCTATGCAAAATTGAGAAAACAAAGTTATGAACCTTCTGATGGGAAATGAAGTTCAAGTAACTTTTAAACACGCAAGTTGCTTAAAACGTTGTTTAGTGTTTACTAACCGAAAGAGGTGTTTAAAGTGCCGCTTACTAAGCATATCACCCCCTTCCCTACCCCGACCCTACCCCCACCCTACCCCCTACCCCCACTTGTACCCTTTAACTCGACCCAACCCTTTTACGCCTACCACCTGCCCCTACCTCGACCCCACCCCCGACCCCGACCCCGACCCCACCCACTCCCATTACCATACCCCGACCCCTTTACCCCATATCACCTGCCCCTACCTCGACCGAACCCCTACGAGTAGGGTGGGGGGTTGGTATGGGTGGGAGTAGGGGTGGAGGGTAAGGTCGTGGTAAGGGTAGGGGTAGGGAAGGGGTGGGGTCAAGTGTGTGGAATTGGGGGTAGGGTGAGGGGTGGGGGTACAGGGCGGGGTAGGGGTGTGGGGTGTGGGTAAGCGACTAAGTACGAGATGACCCCACATATTATATTATATACTTGTGTTCATGAATGTTTGTGTGTGTATATATGTATAGAGTTATTTTGGACATTTTAATGTCAAACGGTGTTTTAAATCTTTGAAGTAAACATGAGCTTACAACATTGCTTATTTTATGCGCCGCTTATTAACGCGAGTCTTAATAAGCACCGTTTACTAACCCGTGAAGTAAACGTGTCCTTAATCTTATAACGTAACAGATTCTTAAACAATGCAAGCTAAACTTTCTAAGTAGTGGGATTGTAATATGGAATCATGAATACTGTCATGTGACTTGCTCAGTAAAATGAAATACATAACTGCTCAAGCAATATCCACAATTAGAGTTTACTTCATACCGTCAAGTACTATAACTTTGTTATCCTTCCCCTAAAGGAAAAAGTACACTTTTGTTTTACTTACATGTTGTGAACTTAATAATCATATGCTTGGAGATTTTATCCCTGAGGTTGTTGATGACTGGAAATTTTGTTAGCTTAATCTGAAATCCTGGATCCAGTGATCACAGTTCTTAATAGCCTTCAAAATTGGAAATATAAAACTAGAGTTTCATTGTATATGATGTGATATAAATGAAAATCCAGATGTCTTGCTTACATGAGTTGGCTACAAGTGCAGTGGAAATCCAGATATAGCTCAACAAACCTCATAATTTGTGTTCAATATACTCTGACCTTTGCAGCCCATTTGGGTGGTCATCCCTCCAAAGGAAAATCTCCTGGTGCTTGCGTAGGCATGTTCCAACATACACTGATCCCTAGATATATGCAATCTCGGACTGACATTTTTTCAATGGGGTTGACTATTAGTGCCAAAACTTGCAATGCTCCTGAGTTCGGGCACTTGCGTTTATTCACCAAAAATGGCATACTGCCTTTGCAACTGAGATGTGCTGTGTATCAGAAGCTCACTAAATCATTATTTTTTGGACTAGTGTTGGGCTGTTCTGGAATGTAGAATGGGTAATATAAGAAGAGCTAGAGAATTATTTGATGCTGCCACAGTTGCTGACAAGAGGCATACTGCAGCGTGGCATGGATGGGCAATATTAGAGATCAAACAGGGAAATATCAACAAGGCAAGGGATCTTCTTGGAAAAAGCCTAAAATATTCTGGCGGGAATGAGTACGTATATCAGACCTTAGCACTGCTTGAAGCTAAGGCAAAGAGATATGAACAAGCCCGCTATTTATTCGAGCAGGCAACAAAATGTAACCCAAATAGTTGTGCAAGCTGGCTTGTAAGTGTAGTGGAAAATGCATATTGCTATGTGCTTACTATTTTGATGAACTGCACATGAAGGATCTGCTTTCTATATTTTTCTAGGCTTGGGCTCAGCTAGAGGCACAGTTAGAAAATACAAATGAAGCTAGGAAGCTTTTAGAGGTGTGTAATTGTGTATATATTGGAATTTGTTTTTCGGCACTAGAATTATTGCAGAATGTTGAAGAATTTATCGTCGTGGTGCTAGTTTCGTTTCTTCTTCTGGTGCTTATAGTATTTAATTTATGTATGCTGATTGAGCTTATTTCATGTATTTGAATTATCATCTCCTAATACAGAAAGCAGTTCAAGCGAGTCCAAAAAACAGGTTTGCATGGCATGTCTGGGGAGCCTTCGAAGTCAATTTGGGAAATATTGATCAAGGAAGGAAACTTATGCAGATAGGCTACATATTAAATCCTGGAGACCCTGTTCTCCTTCAATCACTTGCTTTGTTAGAATACAAAAACTCGAATGCGAGTCTTGCAAGAGTGTTGTTCAAAAGAGCTTCCGAATTAGATCCAAGGCACCAGCCAGTTTGGAATGTGAGCTTTTACTTCTGATTTCTTTTGGACAATGCTATGTTTTTTTCTTCTGGTGATATTATATCCATCCATAACCACGGGTGTTGACAGACAGTGGTTAATGAACATCCAGGATTTCATATTGCAAATGAAGTAGTGAGCCTTTGGCTCCATTGCAAATGATGGAAAAAACGTAGAAGTAAAACCGTGCTCGAGAAAACTGCTTGAGATCATATGAAGCCTACATAAAAATCCCCTAGACTCCCCTGAGCAACAAATCCAGTGGTTGTTTCATGTAAACATCTTATACCAAATCTTCAAGAAGAAAGACACTTTTTATGTCTGATTAAGGCAATGACCATGCACACGTGGCCGATAGAGAGACAGAAAAGGGCATTTAGACAATTGTGGAGATTGTCTCACAATAATCGATATTAAATTGTTGAGTATAGCCCTTAGTCACCATTAGGCTTTAAAGTTTAAACGTATTTCAATCTGGCCATATGTGTCAACATTAATAGAAAAGGATCTACAACAATCCACTGTAGATTCTTGTGATGGAAGAGGGACAAGTGTATAGATTCTAAAATTGTCATCTCATCAATCGACACAATATTATCGTCAAACATCATACACCATGGTATATTTTTTTGAATTGTCTTCTTGAGTTCATCCATGACTATAACAAATAAGAAAGGATTCGAAGTCGATCATTTTTGTACTCTGATAGTAATAGAGAACTTTGCGGTCCTCCCTACACTAATACAATCACTTGCAATATAACCCTCATACATATCTATTATGATGATGTTGATATACTTATGTGATATATCTTTTCTACTTAAGACTCATCAAAGGACTTCTCGAGATATTCTATCATATGCCTTTTCTAAGTCAGTGAACACCAAATTCAAACCTTTGTTCGTATATCTATACTTCTCCTCAAGTTTCCTAAGAAGGTGAGTGACCTCAGTTGTTAAACGACCAAACATAAAATCAAAATGATTCTATGAAACCTTTAGACTTCTTCAGTGCCCTTTCTCAATCACTCGCTCCCAAAGTTTATCGTGTAACTCATAATCTTAATCCCACACATTCTTGTACATTTTTCATTTACCCCAGTGCCGCAAAGGCTCCCACCTACGGTGGGGTAAGGGGGGGTCGGATGTACGCAGTCTTACCCCTGTACTAAAGCACAGAGAGACTGTTTCCGGATGACCCATAGTGAAAACCGCGTTCAAAATTGCATGGGCTGACTGCTGCTCCATAACAAAGAAGCGCAGACAGTTTAGTGAGCCATTTTGCTTTATTCCATCATAATCTCAAGCCAAAAAATAATGAATCTTTGGCTCCACACATTCTTGTACATCACCTTTATTCTTAAATACAGCGATATAAGTACTCTTCTGTCAACTCGATGACATTTTCTAGTTAAAACGTGATAACACTTCTTTCTTCAGGCCTCAATTGGTATGGCATTTGGACCCATTGATTCTTCTGCCCCATCTTCCTTAGAGCCTCTTTGACTTCTCTCGTTTGGATCCTTCTTATAAATTCCCAATTTACCATACAATCTGGTATAGTAAGATCATCAATATATTGCGCTTTATTCCCTTGAACAATGTATCAAAGTACGACTTCCACCTCTTTTATTTCTTTATCATCCATTAGTATCCTTTTATCGACATTCTTCACACACTTAACTTTTCCGATGTCTTGAGTCATGCGAACACGAAGACGAGCAACTCCATGAACATATTTTTCTCCTTCTTTAGAAATAATAACATTCCATATAATCACATCCTAATTAGTATTGAGTTACATAATATATCCTCATCAATGATAGAATCTCAAAATGATACCACCAAGGCACCAATCATATCATATCTTAACAATTTTCTTTGCAATTGTACAACAAAATGAAATAGCTTATTACTTGGACCATTTAGTGCATGTTGTTTATCTTCAACCACATTTCATTCAAGTAATATTGTTACAACATCTTTATGGTCATTTTTTAGTTCTCGATTTCTGTTAATACATCTCCATATTTACTGCTAAATAACAGTATAGTTTAGCAGTTTACACATGTTTCCATAATGTTTCCACTTATTTAAATGTTCTCAACTTAGGCTTGGGGCTGGATGGAGTGGAAAGAAGGAAATATTTCAACTGCAAGGGAACTATACCAAAAAGTGTTATCAATCAATTCAACAAATGAAAATGCTAGTCGCTGCCTTCAGGTGAAGTATATATTTTGTGAAATGGACACTCACTCTCTTTGGAGTTACAGTAGTGGTAATATATAGATGGCCTTTCTGTGGTGCACTGAAGAAAGTATTATTGGTACTAGATGGATGAAAATTGATTGGTATGTTGATAGTTGTTTTCTCTTTCCATCGTTTGCAATGGAACCAAAGATTCACTATTTTTTTGCTTGAGAATATGATGGAATAAAGCAAAATGGTGCAGGGGTAAGACTGCCTACATCCGACCCCCCTTATCCCACCGTAGGTGGGTGCCTTTGTGGCACTGGGGTAAATGATGATGATGCTGATGATGATGATGTTGATAGTTGTTTTCTGATTGAGATGGCAAACTGAACACTTTAAGGATGATCATTCGTGGTAATTGTGCCAATTGGAATTTATGTGTGTTCTTTTGCAGGCCTGGGGTGTTTTGGAGCAGAAGGTTGGTAACTTATCCGCAGCTAGAAGATTATTTAGATCGTCTCTGAACATTAATTCTCAAAGCTTTGTGACATGGAAGACGTGGGCAAATTTGGAAGAAGACCAAGGGAATTCTGTGCGTGCGGAGGAAATTCGCAGCCTTTATTTTCAGCAGGTATGACATGGATAGTGAGAATGGATCATCTTCATTAGTTAGTTAGGTTGCTGGTTCTCTTGGTTCAATTAGAAAGCATGCATTTGTTTTGTCAATTAACTGGGGCGGATGTCCTTGTAGCAAGTAAACATGCCACACTCTCTGTCACATGTTGGTTCTTTCTTCTAAATATATTTAACCAAGAACAGTTTCCTTTAGAATCAGAACTGATATCTGATTTCAATGAGTGACAGCGTATTGATGTTGTTGATGATGAATCATGGGTTATGGGATTTCTACACATCATTGATCCAGCTATTGACCGTTTAAAGAGAATCTTGAACTTGGGTCAGAATTCGTTCTACAAGACCACATATGCTTCAAGAAGTGCATCAGGAAGTGATGAAATTTCCAACTGCGAAGAATCAGATAGCAATGGCAGTACGGTAGGTACTGCTGCCAGTGGCTTTAACTTAGACAACTTCATTCGCAAAAATCTATCATTGGAACCCTCAGAACTTAATAGTCAGTTTGGATCTTATCTCAGACAAGATCCAAAGAACATCAGATATCCAAGACGGGTTTGGAGAAAAAGGGAGCATACTTTGCAAATTTCTTCAGATCAATGATTTCTAATGAATCTTTATTCTGTAGTTAGTCTCCATATTCATATATGGTCACCGGTCAGTTCTTGAAATTTCTCGGGCATATTGGTTTTTAAATTGTATAATTTGAAAACTAGTAGGCGGTGGTGTAATCAACACTAGGCGCATAAGATTCAAATCCTTTTTCCTCACCTGGCAATAGGCTTCTTTGTAATATACGGAGTACATAGCTAACCTGGATCTTCATGCCATAACCATTGGCTTCCCTTTCAAAATTCATCAGAAGCACTTCTAGTTTCTAATTGTCTATCAGTTCTAGCCCCTTCTTGGTGTAGACCTCAAGGTTAGTGTAAATTTTTGTTACTAGCATATTTATGATTGTATCAGAGATATTCATTGATTATATTTTGTAAGTTTGAATATGTTTTATACTTCTTCTGTCCCACCGTCCCATAAAACTTGATCAAACTTGATTTGCAAGCTTAATAAGAAAGAAAAACTTATGTAGTTGAGAATTGTGTACAGGAAAGTTAAATAACTTTGAATATACCGAGTATGTCTATTACTTTCAAAGGAAATGATAAGTTTTTTGGGATGGCTAAATAATGAAGCCGATAAAATTTTGTGGGACGGAATAAGAGTTAGTGTTTGGAAATGTTATTTGTTTTCTCTCTCTTCACCTTGTGAATTTGCCAAGCTTACTTGTTTGTTTTAGAGGACATGATTAGTTATAATCTTTTTTATTGTAATATTTCAAGGCTTTACTAGTTAGTTAGTAACTTACTATTGTAATTGTATATATATCTTCTTCTTCATAGCAGAGGGTAATTGAATCAGAACTTTTTTCTAGAATTTCTTGCTAATATTGTATCAAATGAAATACTTTAGACTTTTTTAGTCTTCTCCTTTTGTAATATTTTATTATCTTCCATCATAGTTTCTACACGATCTTCATAACATTGTGTTGATTCTATTACTGATCGTATCATGAGTCCTTAAAATCCGCTATTTTACGGGCTGCAAGGGCATCAACCATAATTTTAATGTCCCTCAAATAATGTTCGATGATTGAGTTTCTTTCTTTTTATTTTGAGATAACAAACATCTAAGTTCCATGTCACGAGGCAAACTAGCAGACATAAATCTAGTTTGTAGATGCTCCCAAATAGCAAAAGAATGTTTTATGTCATGTACATCTACTAATACATCATGAGAAAGTGTCGCAAACAACCATGATCAAATAATTTGATCCACACGTAACCAGTGATAGTATTCAGAATTACTATTTTGACGATTAGCAATATTAGTAGTGTACATAGGAGGTACCTGAATAGGATCATCAAGCATGCCAGAAAGACCCTAAGAGATGTGGAATGACTCGAATTGTGTGCGCTAAGTGAGATAATCTTCAACAGCTTTGAGTTTGATAGTAACAATCTGTGAAATCGTAGTGATATGCGACACAGATTGTGCCAGAGCAGGCATGAGAAAACCAAATATGGATGAATCAGTTGGACGAGTGATGTCGGGTGAGCCCGTGAACTTAGTAATGAGGAACAGGGGTGAAGAGTTGATTGGTTGCACTGCGGCTGGAAACGGTTTACCTGGAACATTCTGTAGTGGAGGCATGCTAGCAGGGGCAGATGTACTTGAGGGCAGGGATGGGCTTCAGCCCAGCCCAAGTTTTTTTTAGTTAGTATATGTATGTATTATATTCTGAGCCCACCTCAAAATTAATTCTCAACCCAGCCCAAAGTTAACTCCCAGCCCACGTCCCAACCTTACCTGCCCTTCTCGGCCCACATCCCAGTCTTATTAATTACGCAAATTAGAGCTGTCGTTGTACGATTGAAGACCTGCGAGGTTGCGAATTGCGAAGGAGCGGCTGCGAACTGCGAAGGAAGTCAAGGAACCTGCTTCTCGTCAACCCGCCTACAACGTCCGGCGTCCGCCCACCGGTGTCCGCCTTCACAAATCTCCAATTCTTCTAATCTAATTTCTGTTTTAGATTTTTGATTTTTTGTTGTTAGATTGTGAATGTGTTATTCTCCAAATTTTATTTGTAAACTCCAATTGGCGACTAGCAGTTATAATTTATTGTGTATTTGTGTATTAATCTATTATTATTTTTAGCATTTTAGAGTTTTAGGGTTAGGGAATCATTATGATTATTAATTGAATTTTTCAGTACATAATTAAATAGTGTTTAATTCATTATAAATTTAGAATGATTAAAGATAAAATTAAAGAGTGGAAAATGATTTAGTTATTATACAATTGAAAATGTTTATGTACAAGTGTACAATGTAATAGAGTAGTTTTAATATTATTTATTATCGTGAACTTCTATTGTAATTCTGACTCTTATTATTTATAAATATATCTGCCACGACTACCATTAGGTTAAGCCCGGTAATTATTCTCACATGGTATCAAGAGCCAGAACCTGTTTACCCTAATTTTTCTTTCGGCCTCATGTATTCCGTCGATTCTCCTTCTGCCGCAGCGGGTATCTCTACTGCCGCTGGCAGTGCTTCACACCACACCGCACCGGTGGCAACCACCGTGCATGCGTCGCCGGTTATTTCTCAAATTTCCTCTCTGTCGTCATATCCCCACCTGTTCGCGACAGCAGAGCAACTGGTCTCCTACCAGGCCTCCTTCTCTTCCGCAAATGTCTTTCTTCTCTGGTGCCGTCGGCTCCTCTCCCACAGTGAATTCCGGCTCCAGTTTTGCAGGTCCCACTTTCTCAGAAATGTTTGTTTTTTCCTTATTAGTTATATTTTTTATATAACTATTTTAATTTATACCAATATTGGAAATGTTTTTTAGAATGGATAATGAACACATTACCAAGAAAGGAAAGAATTATATTATTTTACAGTTTTTTTACAGATTCTTTTTCTTGATTAACCATTGTATTATTTATTAAGCATTGTATTAATCTGTGAAACATTGTTAATCTACTTGAATATATGTTTAACACAGAGGACCGGGAGCAATTGTGTTGTTGTGTTTTTATTTGTTAAACATTGTATGATTTGTGACTTCATGTTATTATGTATTATTATTTTTAGTTTTGTAAATCTATTTGATTATTAATTGAATTTTTCACTATATACTAAAATAGTGTTTATTCATTGTAAATTTATAATGATTAAATGAAGAATTAAAGATTAGGGAATGATTATTTATTACACAATTGAAGATTAGAGAATGATTTATTTATTGTGTGGCCATGCTAAGAAAGAATTAAAAAATTTAATTGAATTTTGAAATACTAAAATCTTTAATAATCATTAATAAATTTATAAAATCTTACTAAAATGTTTAAATTTTAGTACTCCGTAATATATAATTTTTTCCTATAACGTATAAGTTATCGATAGGCTAGAGCCCGGATCGAACTGAACATCATTAAGCTCGAACTCGGCTTGAATAACTATTCAAACTCAAAATCTAGCGTGTATTTGAGTTCGAAGCTCGTTAAACTCGGGTCGTTAAATTAAATTTGAAATCACGTTTGAAATCGAGTAGTTCGAAAAAATCTTAGTTTGATGACATTCCTAAGCTAAACCTTTCATGTGCAGTATTTTTTTTACTGCTTAGCCCACCTCACCCCTCATCCCTGGATCCGCCCCTGCATGCTAGGGTTGGAGGTTGGTCCTTGCACCACAGGTCGCTGGAACTAGAGATGGCAATTGTGACCGATCCGGTGGATACCCGCACCGAACCACCCCGGTCAAACCGGGGAAAACCGCATTGACCGGATAACGGGTATGGGGCGGGGAATACCCGTTTTGTTTTTACGGGTAACAGGGCGGTTACGGTTTTATACATGTCCGCCCCATTACCCGTCCCGTACCCGCCCCGTTTATTTTTAGTTATATTTTTATTACATTCTCATCTATTAGTTGTCCCACAACTAAAAGATGGGAATTTTCTATTTTCTTTGTGTATATATCAATGACAAATATACCAACTCTAGTGTACGAAGGAAAGTTCACAATACATCTTAATAGTCTTGTTTGATTATTATCAGATTCTTTCGAGATTAATTATTTTTCAGATTAAGTATTTTTAGATTCAAACTCATTTAGGTTGTCTTCTTTCTCGTCTTGTAGATATGCGAAACTTTAAAGTGGCGTTTGAGTCTAGAGTCGTCTAGGTGACAAATCCTTCGAGAGCCCAAACCTCCATTTCCCCTACCCGTTGCCCCCCCTGTTTGGCTCTTCCTCTAAGGGGTTGTTGTGTAACAAGCGCATAATGTCCACTGGAACGCCCATGCAGTTTATCATCAACTTGATGAATTAATTTCAAGATAGATGCCCTTTTTTGCCTTTTAAAACATTATTTTTATATTAAAAAACCAATGACACATTTAATAAAGTGATTACTCGCGGTTACCCGCGGTTATACCCGTTACCCGTTGGAGCGGTTATGATTTGGGTAAAAATTACCCGTTGAGTAATGGGGCGGTTATGGGGCGGGGGAATTACCAAACGGGGCGGGTACGATTATATGTAAAACCGTCCCCGATCCGCCCTGTTGCCATCCCTAGCTGGAACATTGGCTGCACTGCGGCTGGGAACGGCTGACCTGGAACATTCTGTCATGGAGGCATGCTAGGGCTGTAGGTTGGCCCTTGCACCACAGTTTGCTGGAACGGGGGTGCCTGCCATGGAAACTGGGGAGGGAGAGGATTGAACAGGTTGTAGGTGTTTGGTGATGTCCACGTGGAGGAAGACGTACACTGGACCGGAGAAGAAAACACCTGTTGTGGCGCAATAAAGGGCGCAGTGTTGGTGCTGATGGGGAATGTCGTTGTTGCGGAGAGAGATGCTGATGAAGCAGCGGAAGAATAGACCGAGACGATGCTGTTATGGTCCATGGAAAATCCGATCGTCGTGACAGAGGAGGAGGCGGATTCCGTCATTATACGCTACGGCGAAAGAAAAGGAAATAGAAGTAGCCGGAAAAAATATATTTGACTTAAGCTCTCGATATCATGTGGAATCGTGGAACATGTTGTCCTCTAAGGAACCCTGGAAGATGTAAATAGATTCAGGGGTTTAGGCTCCAGTATCCACATACTCAGAAGAACAGAAGGTATCACGATCACCTGGTGGGGGGCCCCGTCGGTCGGATGACCTCCATCAACCAGAAAGAAGTCTACTCAAATATGATCCAAAAGTCAGGAGAACCGGGCGACCTCGTCGGTCGGGTCTTCATCGGCCATGCCCTCATCGGTCATGCCCTCATCGGCCATAGATAACCTCTAGAACAGGATTTTATACTTAGCCATTTCTATGCACTTTGTATTCGGCCCATTAGTGGCCCTGTTGTAAATGGGCCTCCCAAGGCTTGGGACCCCAGCCCGAATTTTCTCTATAAATACTTCCTCTGGGAGTAGTTATAGAGGTTGACAAATCATTTATTGCAAGGATTTATTGCACTTCTCTTTCTAGCTCTCCCTTCTTTCTAGATACATAATGTATGAGGTTTATTAGTTTGTATTGGGTAAACAAATGAAAGCCATGGAAATCAGTAGTGATTTTACGTGAGTTGAGCACATTGAATTGCCTTCCTATCTGTTAGAGTGTTTTACCTTCGTCAGTAGAGTTTTGCACCATATGAGTCGTCAAACTTTCAGTTAATATTTGATGAACTCACACACACATAATAAACGAGGCAAACAACTCAAATAGAATGACAAAACAATGAAATACTTATTAGGACTGCGAGGGAAAGAAAGCTCAAATGTGCTGAGCGAGGTGCGAATTATTTATAGCCATAAGCACAACCCTTAATTTCAAATGGTTGTGCGGCAACAAATCTAAATGGAAAAGGAAGTGAACAGACCATTCGAAGCAACGCACAGGACGTGGTACAAGAACGATCGCCAAACAGAAATTTAATAGCATTGATTACGAAGGATCCGCTCAAGCTCTGGGGCTGTTTTTTTTTCTTTTTACAGGCCTCCCCAACAAAGCAGATGTGCAGCTTAACGCTGAAGTTAACGGAAGTTAAAAACTTACGATACGTAAGCTTAAATAAGCCATATGGAAAATAGGGTTCCACCTTCTAACAATAATTCACAACATCCTATTCACCAAGCGTGTTGACACAAATCAAGGACATGTCAGATTTTCTTTAAAGAAGATAACTATTATTGGACGCTGTTAGATTTTCTTTAAAAAGGGTAAGTATTATTCGATGTTGTTAGATTTTCTTTAAAGAGGGTAAATATCTCTTTTTGTGTACCAATATCAATAACATTTTTGTATTTCTATGGATTTGAACCTCCCGCGAAGCCGTTAAGATTAAACGAACCACGACTTCCGGATAAGGCACGTATAAACAGCACTGAGTTCATTTCAACCATGGGCCTAAAAATGGCGTCTCACCCCGTAGTCGCTGACTACTCCAAACACTTCCTTGCTCCGCTCGAGCCTTCTCCACACAATTTCAGCTCCACCATTCTTCGCCGCCATTTCCGAACTGCCTCCACGGCGACGAGCAGGAGGCTGACCCACTGTTTGGCTGTCAGGGGGTCTCTTGATCGCCGCTCTTTCATCGCCGAGTCTGCGGCCGCGGTTTCTCTCTTTCCTTATGTCGGCTTCTCTCCGGCTAGAGCTGTCAACGAGCAGCTGTCGGAGTGGGAGAGAGTTTACCTGCCTATCGACCCCGGCGTGGTGCTTCTAGACATCGACTTTGTACATGACGACTTCAAACACGGTCCGTTTTAGATCTATGAGTCTTGAAGCATAAAACGTCCAAGTTTCTAATTTTCTTCGATCTTTCATGTGATTTCATCGTTGCATTCCTGAATGGTTTGCAAGTTTACAGCAATGAGAACTCTCTGTTTTTCTTACATGGGGTTATTTTCTTCCAGTTATTTTCCGCTATAAGTGGAATTTTGAGTTTTAGAGGAAAATTTCTTCCTCTCTTATAAATCAGTGAAAAGTTTGTGGTCAAGTGTGTACTTGGTGTCCGTCAGGGAGCCTTGTGCATGAGGACTACCTTTTCTTTATACACCCCGAATGTCCATCCTTCTTAGCTTGTTGCCTTCCCTCCTTGATCTAGAAGTTCATGAGCATTCAAGAATTTTGTGCAGATGTCTAGAAATTTCTATAAGAGTGTAGAGAAGTATTGAATGTTATAGAATTCTAGAACCTTATAGAGAGACATGGAATTATCTATAAGTGTATGGAAGAGTGTAGAATATTCTAGAAAGTTGTGGAGTGTTCTAGAGAAATGTGGAAATCTCTAGAATCGTGTGGAAACCTCTAGAACATTTTGAAGCAGTGTGGGGTTCTCTAGATCCTTCTAGAAGATTATAGAAGTCTGTGGATACTTCTTGGAAGACTCTAATAATAGGAATGTGTTTGGTGTAACGGAATGTGTTGATTACTCATCGTACTCCAAAATTGCTCTAATAATGTTTGAACAGTTATCAATTACTTGTATGCCGTGAGCATATATGATGCTCTTTGCATATCTTGCTTATCAGGCGTATGCCCTGTGTGTATATAATAATGATATATGACGTTGAATATTGGAGGGAGTGTGTATGCTTTTCCGTGGAACTGAGTTGGAGATCATTTGATTCTATAGTTTAACCCAGTGAGCGATGATGGCACATTAATCATTACAGGCTTTCTGTTGGGGACTAGACAAACTATTTTGGAAACGAAGGATGGAGGAAACACCTGGGTATCACGATCTATTCCCTTAGCAGAAGAGGAAGATTTCAATTATCGTTTTAATTCAATCAGCTTCAAAGGGAAAGAGGGGTGGATTGTTGGAAAACCCGCCATATTGTTGCATAGCTCTGATGCTGGGGAAAACTGGGAGCGGATACCATTAAGCTCTCAACTACCTGGTGATATGGTAAGCATATTCTCTTGATCTGTTTCTCCTTATTCTATTTAAACGAATTCACTTGTTGTGATAGCTATTATATTGATTTTTTTTGTAAATCTGTATACAGTGCTAAGTGAGCATTTTAGTTCTGGAAGAGAAGAGTAAGTAACACTGTAGTGTTTGACTTGAAATTCTACAACTCTCTCATGAAGTTGGGTCAATAATTTCAAGCGCATTAACTCTCTAGGGTTATAGAGTAGCTTTTTTAATAGACACTTTTGTTCTTCTTTGCACAATTTATTTAGAGATATTACCCGAAATAGGACTAAAACAGTTTGAAAATTCCAAAATAGGACTGCCATGTTTTTATTCCCAAAATAGGACTAATTACTGTCATGTTTTGGCAGTACCAGACTTCAAACATGACAGTATTTTCTAAACATGGCAGTAATTAGTCTTATTTTGGGAATAAAAACATGACAGTCCTATTTTGGAATTTTGAACCTGTTTTAGTCCTATTTCGGGAAGTTTCCCATTTATTTAAGCCTCCAAATAAAACTTCCAACAACTTTATTATGAAGTCATGCTCTTTAAACTGTGAACCTGACCTATTTTTATATACTTGTATCCTTAGTCCTGTTGGCTAGCTGGTTCGTAGACTTGTTAAATTAGTTCTTACCCACATTGTTCTGTAAATGTGAACAAACTTACCCTTTCAAAGGATCTAAAACATGAGCAAAAAAATTACTGATATAGAGAGTCACAGTTGATGTGTAGTCAATAATTTGTTATTTTGTCTTTTGAGATCTGTAATTATTTTAGTTCATAGAACATAGCTTTTTTAGGCTTATCTAACAGCTTTGAGTTTCTTAAATTTTAGTATTATTATTCTTGTAGTGGTAGTAGTTCTTGTTGTTTTTGCTATTGCTGTTATTGTTGATGATGATACCTTCGATGTTTCTTGGGTTTCTCTGAAGTGGCACCTTCTTATGATTTGTCCATTGATATTGCAACACTCATAGCATGATATGATGAGAAGTTAAGGAAGATGAATGAACTCTTTTGCTTTGCGATCTCCTTTTTCATTCTCTGAATTTCATTGATCTCAAAGTAATATGTATGTTATTTGCAGGTATGTATACATGCAACGGGTGAAAACAGTGCAGAAATGCTAACCGATGAAGGTGCTATATATCTTACATCAAATAAAGGTTACAACTGGAGGGCTGCTGTGCAAGAAACTGTATCTGCTACACTTAACAGGTAACCTATTGGCATGTATACTCCTGCAATAAACTAGATTATGCCTATATTTTCCAACGAAGTTGTATGAGTTTAAGATTTGGTTGGGATTTTGTTGAGGAACTGAACTCCCTAGATTCGGGTATGCTTGATATTCCAATGCCTCTTATTTATATGGATAAATTTATGCATGTATTGTTCCTTAGCAGAACTTAATTATATAAGGAGAGTATACAAAGTCCAATATAGTACTGCTACACTGCTACTAAATAAAAGTCCTAAACTGATTCATCAACTAACTCACCAATCAAATACTACTAAGATATCCTTCCGAGTCCTATGTGTTTGGAATTTACCCTTCTTACTCCTTGTGTCTCCAAGTCCTTTGCATGGAATTTTATGAAGTCCATGTACCTTTCCATACTTCCTCTAAGCAACAAATTGAGGATGTTGCTCTATGTAGGCTTCTTCATGAAGGCCTCTATTAAAAAAAACATTATTTAACTTATTTATGTTAAGTTGATGCAGGGGGGCAACTAGAAACATGAGAAAAAGTGCTGGAATAATCAACTTCATGAGTACGGGCATAACTCTTAGCTACATGATGAGCTTAGAAATGAGCAAAGACCCATCGGAATTAGCCTTAACAGGAAACAACAATTTGTACCCTGTTCACAAGGATGTCATACTCAAACAACTGGGAACATGGGGATAAATAGGAGAGATCAAGTTAGACAAGGAGCTGTGATTTAACCCATTATCTTATAATCTGCTATGTAGAGCATATCCAAAGCAAATGGTAGTCGAGATATAGGTCTACGAATAGGTCTGCTAAGATGAACATGTTAGCACTACCACTCAGGTGGAGACATATATCACATGTTCCAAGAAGCTTGTTGCACAAGACCTGACCTTTTTTTGGCACAGTTAGGATAAGAAGTCCTTGATTGTTTCCGAAGCTAGCACGGCTTGCATTTAACTGATAAAGGCATGTCGAAGAGAAAATTCTGTAGTGATTGGTTTAACTTGTATATGAACATCTATGCATACTGCATACACAGGAGGCAATCAGCCCACTCTTAGTAGACAAATAACACAGCACACATATCATACATCTAAAGCTATTAAACCTGTTTACGGTCTATAGTAATACTAAGTCTCTACTACCTCCGGCGCCGCCACTCGCGGGTGTGGCCGCCACCAGAGCCCTCCTGGCTCCGGTGGGGTGTAAAGGTGTTGGTCTTTGGATTTTTGGAAAACTGTTCTTGGGTTTTTGGTTGTTGAGAAGTTTGGAGCTTGTACTGGGTTCTTCCATGGTGGAGCTACTGCTAGAGGTTGCTGGGGGTTCTGAGGGTGCTCAAACAGTTGAAACCTTGTGGTTGAAGTCCTGGATGTACCGGTCATCACTGATGAACTGGCCAGCCGGGGTCGTTGCGTGTGGGGGTGTCATGTACAATGACGAGACTGGGGAAGATGAAGGTCTGGTGATGTTCAAGGGATTTTGACCGGAGTTAGGAACCTGGATGGGTCGCCGGAGGAATCACTCTGGTGATGGAAGGTGGATGCTAGGCTGGGTATGAAGTTCCGGTGGGGTTGGTCTCACTGCTTCCTCTGATGGTGGACGACCTTGCTACTTGCCTGAACTTTCCTGGAAGCACTGGCCACCGTTGAAGAACCGACCAGTGGCCCATGCGTGTGGAGGGTGGCATGTCCGGAGAAGATTGTGGTTGGTGACGAAAATGGGGATGCTATAGCGATGGGGTGTGGTCCGGAGAAGATTGTAGTTGGTGACTAAAATGAGGATGCTATAGCGATGGGGGTCTTGTCTGATACCAAAGCCCAAATTAACTCAACTAACTACTCTACTAATTATTATTATTATTAACTTAATAATAATAATTCAACTATAACGACACCCCTTACTCGGCCCACGGAAGTGGGCCCAAGCCCGGTCCCGCCCCATGCTCTTCCCGCTCTCTATCAATCCATCTTCCTTCAAAATAACCTTGTCCTCAAGGTTGAAAGCTGACAGATGGGGAGCTGAAATTCCCAGACATAGAATAGACTGGAAAATATCCTTTCTCTCTTTCCTGAACTCTTTCCTGGCCGGTTATTTCACAGTACTCATGCTGTTGGAGGTCTAACTTTTCCTCCTCCTCGACTATCATTACCCGCAGCTGCTTAAAGGGACAGTCGTGCCCTGGTGTAAATGGTTTCTTACACCTAAAGCATAATCCTTTCGCCCTCAATCCTGTGAACTCCTTTGGCGGAAGATGAGTGAACTGAGAGCGTGTCGTAGGCTGCCCGGACAGCCCTGACTTCGTCCCCGGAGGCTGTCCACTATCCTTTGCAAAGCTGCCCCTTGATCCCTGCAAGCTGCCACCACTGGCAGTCAACGGAGGACCCGTGGTTGCCATTAAAAAGCTGCTGGAACATACCCCTGCAGAATTATAATTCGGGCTGCCACTTCCTCCACTTTGGACGGACAGATTATGCTCCACATCGCGAGCTAATTCCATGGCTGTCTCCAGGTTTTCTTGCCGTAATAAGCGCAACGAACTTCGGATTGCTTCCCCAAGTCCACTCATGTAGTAGCCCAAATAATGATCGTCGGTCAATCCTGAAACTTGGCTAGCCAATTGAACGAACAAGGTATTGTATTCCTCCACCGACCCAATTTGTTTGACGCCGGACAGCCGTTCAAACCTGTTTCCCTGATATCGGGAATCAAATCTGGCCACCAAGGCTTGCTTAAATTCCTCCCAAGATATGTCAGGTTTGCGCGCCTTTAACCACGTCACCCAATAGAGGGCAGACCCTTCCATAGAAACCCTAGCCGCTGCAAATTGTTTGTCTGGTGGGGTCCTGTTGAGCTCGAACTGCTGCTCCACTCTCGCCAACCACCCAATTGGTTCTTCGCCATCGAACGAGGGAAGTAGCGTTGTGGCTGCGGTGCGCAGTCCGCCATCATCGGAGAAGACAGATGCGACGTGGCCGGAGGAATCGCTCTCGACGGTCGCGATGGGAGATTTCTGCGGCGGCACCATGGCCTTCGCGATTGCTACAAGAGAGGCTGCGATTTCCGCAAGTTGGGCGGCCTGCTCTTCGAGTTTCTGACCTTGTGTGTCAAGTTTCTGTCCCTGCAGATCAAGTTTCTGTCCTTGCGTGTCAAGTTTCTGCTCCAATTATGATAAACGTTTGTTGGTTGATCCCGTCATTCCGGCGGGACGGGATCCGGCAGGTCAGACCAATTGATATGTAACAGAAAAATAGAAATCAACGGGGTGAACCGTTGCCCAGATAATCAACGATAAAAATACCGTTGCCCAAAGCCAAAAGGCTAAACTCTAACTTTATTCCAAGATAATAAGAATGAACCCTGGCGAGGGGTATAAATAGCCTTCTACAAGAAACCCTAATCAAGCCCATATTAATTAAACCCTAATTAAGCCCAAATTAACTCAACTAACTGCTCTACTAATAATAGGCCCAAACTAAAACATAACATTAACTTAATAATAATAATTAAACTATAACTGGCCCTAACTCGGCCCACGGAAGTGGGCCCAAGCCCGGTCCCGCCCCATGCTCTTCCCGCTCTCTATCACTTTCCCCCTGCCGCGAGGTGGGGGGGACGGATACGGTAGATACTATTTTAGGTTAGCGTGCTGGCTTAGATAGTTATTTGTGATACTTTTGATGCATTGTACTATGCTATTTTCTGGATATATACATTTACATTTTATCCAAAAAATGTGGTTATCTAATTCTACGACCTTGTCATAATTGGATATGCTAACAGTCAACATTATACTTTAAGTCTTCAGCCTTCAAAAGTTTTATACACACTAGGCTCTTGTGGTTATCTAATTCTACGACCTTGTCATCATTGGATATAGCTCATCACATAAATCTTGAGTCTTTATAGTCTAGTTTTATATTATATTCCCTCTCTCATATCATCGTTTCCTCATGTGCATCGGTCACCTTTATGACCATCTCATCTTTAGTTGTTTAAACATCAAGCCTTCATTTCCAACATAGTTCATGATGGTATGAACTCTAGACATTCATACTGATAGTGTGTGGGCTCAAAATTCTTTCATTAACTAGAAGTGGAAAAGGTTATTTGATATATATGTGTGTGTGTGTATCTAGAAACCTAATTCTTATGTTCACAAGTCCCAATGCAATTACAGAACGGTTTCTAGTGGCATTAGTGGAGCTAGCTACTATACAGGAACATTTAGCACAATCAACCGTTCCCCTGATGGTCGTTATGTTGCTGTTTCAAGCCGTGGTAACTTCTACATGACCTGGGAGCCAGGGCAGGTAAGGTTCTTCACACTTATTTTAAGTCATTTGTCTATGTGTGTGATCAAGTCCACGGATGAAATTTCTTACATCCAATTCTGTAGAGGAAAATATGGCAATACAGGCATATCTTTTTCTCATAAAGGAAAATATAGCAACTCAAGTCATTGGTATATTTGGAAAATATGAAAATATGGTACATCAAGTCATTTGGAGCTGATTGTTTCATTTACTCATAGAGGAAAACATAGCAATACAAGCATATATTTTTCTTTAGAGATAGCACGAGGCTTGGTTTTCCTCCATCATTTGCAATGGAGTCAAAGATTCATTATTTTTTGGCTTGAGATTATGATGGAATAAAGCAAAATGCTCACTAAACTGTCTGCGCTTCTTTGTTATGAAGCAGTAGTCAGTCCATGCAATTTTGGACGCGCTTTTCACTATGAGTCATCCGGAAACAGTCTCTTTGTGCTTTAGTACATGGGTAAGACTGCGTACATCCGACCCCCTTACCCCACCGTAGGTGGGAGCCTTTGCGGCACTGGGGTAAATGAAAATGAAAATGAATAGCACGAGGCTTGGTTTTCCGATTTTAACAATGAGATGTTTCCCAAATGTAAATTGTGGCAGCCATTCTGGCAACCACATAATAGGGCTGTTGCTAGAAGAATCCAAAACATTGGTTGGAGAGCTGATGGCGGGCTTTGGCTACTTGTACGTGGTGGAGGATTATATCTTAGCAAAGGAACAGGGGTAAGTAAATACAAGAGTTTTTCAATCCAATGTGAAACATAAACATAACAATTTTCCTTGTTCAAGTTTGCTAGTGTACAAGTGTAGCATGAGATCACGTCAATAAACAACACTGGCTGTATGGATGAAAATGGGCGTATCATATCGGCAAATTTTATTAATGCGGTTTCAATATAATTTTGATAATCAATTCTGGTCATACATGGCCTATAGCCATATTACCTCCCCCCCCCCCCCCCACCCCCCAGTTGGCCACTATTCAATGCACACAATGTAACTAAAGATCACAGACCCACATAAACAATAAAGGAAAAATTGATTATATGATATGGGAGAAGAAGTCAAGATACAATACATTATTAATATTATTATCATTATTACTATTATTATTAATTATTAATACTATGTCTGCTTTAGGCAGCTTCTTAATTAGCATTTATCTCCTTCTATAATTAGTCATATTCTGCTTTAGGCAGTTTCTTATTAGCATTTATCTACTTTTATAATTATTCCTATTTTGCTTTAGGCAACTTCTTAGTTAGCATTTATTTCCTTTTCTAATTAGGACTCTTGTAATAGCTATATAAGGGACATCCGTATTATACAATAAACAGCTTGGGAAGAATTAATTCTTTTGTGTCTAGACAAGGTCGGGCACAAATTAATTCTAGCTTAGGCTTATTTTATTATTTATTATTCTCCTCTCATATTCTCTATTTCCTAGATCTAAAACGAGATCCCAACCACGCCCGTAACAATTTGGTATCAGAGCCATTCACGTTCCTATCCGATTCAATTTGAATAAAACTACTATAAATGGTTAAACCGTGAAGTACATAATACAAATTTTAACTATGGCAAAATAGTAATCCTGTTTCTAGACTTCGTATGGTTTAGGTTTTATGTTTTAGGTTTCATATTAGGATTATTATTTCTCTATATATATGCATTGCAACTGTATTTAGAATTTTTAAGTAAGAAAAGTCATACCAATAAATGTAGTCATTTAATACTCGACATGATTTCAACTTTCAAGGCCAAGTACCTAAGAGGCTAAGATATTTAAAGAAAGATACAACCCTGGTCCCCCTTTTTCTCAGTCTGAAGAGTAACCACAAATATCCCCTTATGTTTCAATGGTCTTGCTTGGGAAACTAATGTTTCCATCTTGCTCAAAATCTTGATGTGAAGTAGGGTTGATCTGTCCAATTCTCTGTCATCCTTCATTTAGCCTCAGGCATCTTTTCTTTCTAGTTAATGGAGGAGTTTGAAGAAATACCTGTGCAGAGCCGTGGTTTTGGCATTCTTGATGTTGGCTATCGTTCACAGGTAAAATCAGTGATGTATATACGAAGTCTGTTATTTTACTAATTGTATCTCTTCTTAAATGGCATACGACTGGGTATTAATTAGATTTGAGATGATTGTTCTAATATATATCAGAATATGTTTTAAAGAAAAAAGGGAAAACAAATGGAAGAAGAAATGTAAACAAAAAATATCTAGTTTCCTTGTTATCTTCGTTCAGAGATTCCTTTTTGTTCAATGTAGACCTGGACAGCTTTAAATTTGACTTTTACAGGATGAGGCTTGGGCAGCTGGTGGGAGTGGGATTTTGTTGAAAACCACAAACAGTGGGAAGACATGGATTCGGGACAAAGCTGCCGATAATATTGCTGCTAATCTTTATTCAGTCAAGTAAGGGGTGTATTTTAGCAAGCCTTGACCTGATTTTAACACTTTTTGAATTTTAGATTTACAATAGTAGGACACGAAATTTTAAATTCATATTGGTTTTAAAAGCTACTTCTTTGAATAAAAGTCGCAAAGCCTTGTAAGGTTACTGTTTGCTGCACTCTATTCGATGTTGCTGATTTAGAGCCTCTTCCAGTTTCATTCTTTTATTTTATCTTTTTTTTTAAAGAAGTGCACTGATTTCCTATTTAACGGGTGATGAAAAACTTAAGGCCTTGTTTGGTTCAAAGGAGGGGAGGGAAGGGGAGAGTCAAGGAGGGAAGGGAAGGGAAGGGGAAGGAAGGATTTTGATAAAAATTTGTGTTTGGTTAGAGGAAATAGAAGGAAAGGTTTAATGAATATATTTTCACAATTTACTTTTATTTGATAGCTTACTTAGAAAAATAAATACATGTCTAACTATTGTGAATATTACTCCTATGGTCATGAGTCATAATTTTTTAAATTCCTTCGACCAAACACACAAATCCCTCATTTTCCTCCCCTCTCCTCCGAAACCCTCCAACCAAACAGGGCCTAAAAGGTTATCTTCTTGAGCTACTTTTGGTTAAATACATGTTCAAGAATTACATCAGGTCCTGTATTGCAGGTTTATCAACGAAAAACAAGGTTTTGTACTGGGTAATGATGGTGTGTTGTTAAAGTATCTTGGATAGATGAATGCTTCCGCTCGGTAAGCTTCTCATCTGTTGATTCACAATAAAACAGCATGGCTAACATAGAACATTGCTGTTTTTATGTTCTGGATCTCCTTCAAAGGATTGAATGAATTACTTATACTTTTTTATGAATTTTACTAGAAAGACTGAATTTCAAGGATCTGGTTTTTGCAGACTATGGACTGGGAAAAAAACAGATTTCCTGGGTCGTGGCAGGTTTCAAATGAGCATCTTTTTCAAATGTTAACCCTTTGAGAATGGAGCTCATTCAATGAGACCATTGACTACTACGAAAGCAAATAGTTGAACGACAATCAACGATATGGAAGTTACCTGGTGTACAATTAGTTAAAGCTTTGTAATAGAAATGGAATAATAATAATAATAATAATAATTACGGAGTATTATTATTATTATTGTTATTATTAGCTTTATATATTACAAAGTACCAAAGTTGCTACAGCATTTAACTCTGATCTCCCGCCCAATGCATGTGATGATGTCAAGATAAATAATAACTAAAGGTTCTAATATCCCACTTACAACATTAATACAAGGAAATAATAATTATGATATTTCAAAGGAATGTCATAAAACACTTACTTCTGTAGCTAACAGTTCTAATATTTTGAAGAGTAAATTCCTAAACTAGGAGTAAATCATAACAAAAGTGCAATAATAGGAGTACATTGTTCCGTGTAATATCATAGGAGTAAAAAGACATGGCTGGACAAAATTGCCCTTAATGAAAACCCTAATTATATTTATTAAAAATGTAAAATAGAATAATAAAAAGGCCGTAACATAACGATAGCATAGCCTCTTGCGCTAGCACCACCTACAATAGATGTCGACGCCGCCTGACACCAACATCACCTCGTGGCCGATCGGTCAGCCGCTGGACGCCGCCACCACCAGTCACGGCCGCCGCCTGTTGCCATCCGCCGCCACCGCCGCCGGTGGAATTCATGTAACACCACCACATTTTTCTCCATCACTGTCCATCTAAAATATGTGCAACTTTGTAAATGTAATCTAACCATTTGAATGTCATTTGTATATACCCGAGTATATTAAAAACAGAGGATATGAATTTTCTAGCCATCTTGACCTTTTCTTGGCATTATAAATAGTGTATTTACAAGGTTGCCATCATTGTGAGTTATTACCATATAATTGGCAGTATTGGTGTTAAAAAGATGACATTATTTGATGGAGTATATGGGTCTGAGCCCCAGGACCCACATACTCGGAAGAACAGAGCACAAGACAGAGTGGCGCCCTCATCGGCCAAACGCCCTCGTCGGCCTAGAGGAAGCCAACCCGGATTATGATCCCGAGTCCAAGGAACCCGGGTGCCCCCGTCGGCCGTGCCCTCGTCGGCCGTGCCCTCGTCGGCCACGAGGACCTCCCAGAATCGGATCCTACACTTACTCACTTGTACAGCCCATTAGTGGCTTTGTATTCGGCCCAGTAGCGGTCCAGTTGTAAATGGGCCTCCCAAGCCCAAGGCTTGGGAGTCCAACCCTAATTTTCTCTATAAATACTCCCCTTGGGAGTAGTTATAGGGGTTACGAAATCATTCTATTGAAGCATATTATTGCACTTCTCTCTCTAGCTCTCACTTCTCTCTAGATATTCTCTATCATTTGGTGCTCTCGTTGAGAGCTAGAACAATCAAGTTAGCACCCTTCGTCGCTGCCAAGCACAGCTAACCACTGATCATGGGGAGAACTAAGTCAAACCGCAACCTCGTCAGCAAAGCCATCCCTGAGGACCAAGAGCCCAGGGAGCACGATGAGGACGCCACGGCCGACCAGGTCGGCGGAGGGGACCTCTTCCAGGAAGCCTTCAACCTCACGACGGACCTCCGCAACCAACTCAACGGCGGAGTCCCCGACGCCCGCCTCGGCCTGGAAAAGAAACGAGCTGAGAAAGCGGACCACGCCCCGGCCCAGCCTATGGCCACGGCCTCTCCGTCCGTAGATCCTCAGGTCCAGGCCGCACTATCGGCTATCATCGCCAGCTTGGCTCAGAATCCCACCGTCCTCAGCGCACTCTTGCCAAGGACCGGGGGAAACGTCACTCCACCTCCTCATCCCCAACCCCTGGCCGACCAGATAGGCAACAATGAGGGGGTTGTGGCCCAGGACACGGCGTCGTCCCACTCACACCCTGCCTCCCCTCTTCGGCCCAGGCAGACCCCAGCGCGTGGAAAAGCCTCTGCCTTCAATAGGCTAGGTGACACGCGCCGTCGTCCGGTTTCGGAGAGGATGGCGGGACGGATTGGTGATCCTCGTCCTGGCTCGCCAAGGGAGAGTTTGGGGTCGGTGTCCCGGACAGCGGACCAGCCCCGCCCGGACAAGGGCAAGGGGAAGTTGCACGAGGATGACGTGCGTCACCAGATCAACGCGGCTCACAACGAGCGCCGGAGGAACCAGCCGGGTGCCGTCGCGGCCGACAGGGACCCCCGGGACGAGGTCATCGCCCAGCTGGAAAGGAGGTTGGCTCAGATGGAGGCCAAGCAGTCGGCCAACGTTCCTACGGCCGGCGCCTCCAACGACCCCGGCCTCAACGCACTCATGAACAAAGTCAGCGCCCTGGAGAGGGAGCTGGCCGAAGGGCGGGGTGACCCCATCATCCAGGTCAGGACCAGGACCCCTTTAACCAACAGGGTCCTCTCGGCCCCCATCCCTGAGAAGTACAGGGGGAACGCCATCAAGTCCTACGATGGCCGATCAGACCCCCAGGAGCACTTCAGCCGTTATCAAAACAACATGCTGATGGTGAACGCGTCCGACGAATACCTCTGCCGTTGGTTCCTCTCTACTCTCGAGGGGCCAGCGTACGAGTGGTTCAACGGGCTGCCAGAGGGAAGCATTGACTCATGGCAAGATCTCGCCCAGTGCTTCCTCACTCACTTTGCCGGGAGGAAGCGCGCCAAGAAGTATTTCACCCACCTCCTCTCCGTCAAACAGCAGCACGAGGAGTCCCTCCGGTCATTCATCGACCGGTGGACGAGGGAGACCGAGGAGGTCGAGGGGGCCGATGAGCGCACCCTCCTCGCCTTGTACCAGGGAGCCCTCCGCAGCTCCCCGTACGCCAGGAGCCTCATCACTGACCCCCCGAGGTCGTACGCCAAAGCGCTCCAACGCGGAGGCTTGTATGCCGACGCCGACGAGCTCCACAATCACAAGAGAGAGGGGGGCCATCCCCCCAAGAAGACAAATCCTTCGCCGGCCTCGGGTCCGTCCCCGGCCGGCCAGGGTGCCCAGGGCCGCCACGGCTCTGGTGGACAAAGTAAGAAAGACCGCCACTGGCGGCCGAGGATGGAACGGCCGGGGGTAGCCCTCACCCACCCGGTCGGCACCATCCTCGATTATGCCGAGAAGCACGGCCTCATCGAGCAGGCTCCTCGGCCGGCCGAGGAGGTCCTGGCCATCCAACAGGGCGGCACGTATTGCCGGTTCCACAAGAACTCGTCGCACAACACCGACGATTGCATCACATTAAAGAAGGCCATCGAGCGTCTTATTCGCCAGGGGGAACTCTCCCAGTTTGTCAAAGGTGGCCCACGTAAAAACACTTGGGTAAACACCGGCAAACGTGGGGGCGAACCCTCTGCGAAGAAGCGCGAGATTGGTAGACTCAACGACGACGAGGACTTCGAGGAGCCTCCGCCGAAGAAGAATCACATCCACCTCATCGTGGGCGGGAACACTGGGGGGGACTCCGCCACTCAGAGGAAGAAATGGGCCCAATCCCTTTACATTGGAGAGGTGTCCCACGTTCCCCCCCAGCCGAAGAAGCAGCGAACGGAGGCGATCACCTTCACCAACAAGGATCTGCCTCCGGGTACGGAGTCACACAGGGACGCCCTCGTCATCCGATGTGAGATCGGTGACTCCATCATCCACCGCACTTACATCGATACGGGGAGCTCCGTCAACGTGATGTACCTAGACACCTTCAAGCAGCTGAAGCTGGACAGAGCTCTGCTGAAGCCGATCAAGACCCCGTTATCCGGCTTCACCGGGGACTCTATCGACGCCGAGGGCACGATAGTCCTCCCCGTGGAAGTCGGTGACGGCCCCCACCATGCCAAAACTGACATGGAGTTCATGGTGGTCAACCTCCAGTGCGCCCATAACTTGATCTTGGGCCGGCCAGCGCTGGAGGACTTGGAGGCCATCATCTCCATGAAGCACCTATGCTTGAAGTTCCCCACCAGCGACGACATCGGCTACGCCAGAGGAAATCAGAGGATAGCCAGAGCTTGCTACCTCAAGCTGACGAGGCCGGCCGAAAGGGAGGGACAGCGGATAGATACCATCACGGCCGCCGCCGCCATGGACGAGGAGAGGCCACATGCGGAGCCAGCCGAGGAGGTCGAGGAAATCCCTCTGGATACCTCCCGGCCGGAGCGGGTTCTCAGGGTCGGAAAGCAACTCCCCCAGGACCAGCGAGACGCCATCCTCCTCGTCCTACGGTCATACGCCGTTGTCTTCGCGTGGGGCCCGGACGATATGCCTGGCATCAGCCGCCAGGTGATCACTCACCGGCTGACCGTCGATCCGGCCTCCGCGCCCGTCAAACAGAAGCGGCGCTACTTGTCCGCTGACAGGCGGGACTTCGTCAAAGGGGAGGTCGCCATGCTCCTATCAATCAAACATATCAAAGAGGTGAAGTACCCAACATGGTTGGCCAACGTCGTCCTCGCACAGAAGCCGCCGACGTTCAGAATGTGTGTTGACTACACTGACCTGAACAAGGCGTGCCCCATGGACCCGTTCCCTCTCCCCAACATCGATCAGCTGGTGGACGAGACGGCGGGGTGCGAGTTGATGTCGTTCCTCGACGCTTTCAGAGGGTACCACCAGATCTCCATGCATGAAGGGGACGCCGAGAAGACGGCATTCATGACCCCAGAGGGAATCTTTTGCTACCTCGTCATGGCCTTCGGACTCAAAAACTCCGGCGCCACCTACACTAGGATGGTGGCCAAGATCTTCAGGGCGGTCCTTGGCCGGACGATGGAGGCGTACGTCGACGACATGATCGTCAAGAGCAGGCAGGCCACCTCCCACGCCGACGACCTCCGGGAAATCTTTGAGATAATGAAGGAATTCAGACTCCGCCTCAACCCCAAGAAATGCGCCTTCGGCGTCCAGGGTGGCAAGTTCCTCGGCTACATGGTCAGCCGGAGAGGCATCGAGATAAACCCGGAAAAGACGCAGGCCATCATCAACATGGAGCCGCCCCGCAACGTCAAGGAGGTACAACGACTGACAGGGCGCCTGGCGGCCTTGAACCGTTTCCTCTCCAGGTCAGCTGAGAGGGCACTCCCCTTCTTCCAGATCATGCGCAAGGCAACCAGCTTCAGGTGGACGACGGAGTGCCAGGAAGCATTCGACGAATTGAAGAGGTACCTGTCGTCCCCACCCATACTCTCCAAGCCCAAAGCCGGCGAAACCCTCTTCCTGTACTTAGGAGTGAGCACGTCGGCCATCAGCTCCGTGCTCATCCGTGAGGACGAAGGGGTGCAGAAGGCCATCTTCTACATCAGCAAGACACTTAGGGAGGCCGAGCTCAGGTACTCCCCCATTGAGAAGACGGTACTGGCCATCGTCCACACCGTGAAGAAGCTGGGGCATTATTTCCAAGCCCACATTGTCCATGTGCTGACCCAGCAGCCTCTCGGCGCGCTCATGAGGAGCCCCACTAGCTCCTCGAGGATGGTGAAGTGGGCGATCTTCCTCAGTCAGTTTCAAATTGAGTTCAAGCCAAGGCCATCTATCAAAGGGCAAGCCTTGGCCGACTTCGTCATCGAATGCACAGCAAGGGAGACGGCCGTCGACAACCCCGGGCCGGAGCCGGACGACACGTGGACCCTGTTCACTGACGGCTCGTCGGCCGCGAAATCATGCGGCGGCGGCGTCGTCCTCATATCCCCTGAAGGATTCAGAGCCTACTATGCCATCCGCTTCAACTTCAGGGTGTCCAACAACGAAGCCGAGTA